CTGGAGCGTCTCGCTCCTTCTTTCGGGACCGCACCACTCTCACGCCACTGAGTCGGCCGGTTGCGGTGTCTCTGGCTGACCCCTCTGGGGGGCCTGTCCTGTCTCGCTTCTCCACTGTCCTCCCGTGTCCGGCGGCCCCCTCTGGCACCCTGACTGGTCTTTACCTCCCCTCGTTCTCGACAAACTTGGTGAGTGGTGCTGACCTCCAGGATGCGGGTGTCCACCAGTTCACTCCTGCTCGTCAGCGGGTGACCCACTGCACGGAGGCGGATACAGGTCGCCACCTGGCTACGTTTACACGTCGGCCAGGGTCGAGCCTGTACACTCTGACCACTGCTTCTCCTCCAGGTGCTGAGTCTTGTAGGGTCACTTCGTCTGGTCAGGTGTTTGCTGCAGCGTCCAGGTCTGGTCCTGAGTCTGCCCCCTGCTCGTGCCGTCGTCTGTCTCACGAGACCCTCCTCTGGCACCACCGCCTTGGCCACCCCTCTCTGCTTCGGCTCAGAGGCATGGCCTCGCGAGTCCTTGTGTCTGGTCTTCCCCGGTCTCTCCCTCCCCTTCCTCCGGGCCCTGGCCCCACCTGTGTCCCCTGTGTCGAGGGGCGCCAGCGTGCTGCCCCTCACTCCTCCCAGTTTCCTCCGACAGAGGCCCCGTTGCAGACGCTTCACATGGATGTGTGGGGCCCAGCCCGCGTCCGTGGACAGGGTCAGGAGCGCTACTTCCTGCTGGTGGTTGACGACTACTCGCGTTACACCACAGTCTTCCCCTTGCGCAGCAAGGGTGAGGTCACTGCGGTGTTGATCGACTGGATCCGCGCAGCTCGTCTCCAGCTTCGGAGGAGCTTTGGCTCTGACTTCCCTGTTTTGCGTCTGCACTCGGACAGAGGCGGAGAGTTCTCCTCTGGCCTCCTGAGTGCCTACTGTCGTGCGCGAGGCATCCGTCAGACCTTCACGCTTCCGGACTCACCGCAGCAGAATGGGATTGCTGAGCGCCGCATTGGCATGGTCATGGACGTCGCTCGTACGTCCATGATGCATGCGGCTGCTCCCCATTTTCTGTGGCCGTTTGCGGTCAGGTACGCTGCGCACCAGATCAACCTCCACCCCAGGGTCTCTCGACCGGAGACCTCCCCAGCCCTGCTGTGGACGGGGAAGGTTGGCGATGCGTCGGCGTTCCGGGTCTGGGGATCTCGGGCGTTTGTTCGCGACCTGTCTGCGGACAAGCTGTCCCCTCGTGCTTCTCCCTGCGTCTTCCTGGGGTTCCCCCCCGACGCCCCTGGGTGGCAGTTTTACCACCCCACCTCTCGACGTGTTCTGTCCTCCCAGGACGTCACGTTCCACGAGTCGGTACCCTACTACCGCCTCTTCCCCTACCGCACTCCGTCCCTCCCCCCACCCCCGCTCTTCTTGGTACCAGGTCCCCCCCCGGTAGTCCCCCTCCCCCCTCAGGGTCCTGCCCCTTCAGGTGTGTCCCAGGTAGACGCGGTCGAGCCTGTCGAGGTCACTGGTGACTCTGGTGCTGCTGCGGGAGCTGAGCCTGGGGGTGCGGAGTCTGGGGGTGCTGAGCCTGGAGGTGCCGAGTCTGGGGGTGCTGAGCCTGGGGGTGCTGAGCCTGGGGGTGCTGTGCCTGGGGGTGCTGAGCCTGGAGGTGCCGAGTCTGGGGGTGCTGTGCCTGGGGGTGCTGGGCCTGGGGGTGCTGAGCCTGGGGGTGCCGTGCCTGGGGGTGCTGTGTCTAGGGGTGCTGAGCCTGGAGGTGCTGTGCCTGGGGGTGCTTCGTCTCGCCGGGAGCCACTCTCCCCACAGGAGCTGCGTGAGTGGTTTGCCGGGCGCTGGAGGCGTGCTGCTGGTGCTGGTGGTTCTTCGGCTGCAGAGGGTACTGCTGCTGCGCGCCCCGCCGGCGCTCGTACGGTGGGTGCTGGAGCTGCTGAGTCTGAGAGTTCTCCTGGAGCTGGTCCTGCTGAGGGTGTTGGCGCTGAGCCTGCCGTTGGCGGCCCGACTGACAGTGCTCCTGGTGCTGCGGCTGGAGGTTCTGGAGCTTCTGGTGGTGCTGCTGGAGGTGCTGCTGGAGTGGGTGCTCCTGCCGGGGCTGCTGGTGCTGTTCCTGCTGTTTCTAGCGTCGCCGCGCGGCCCCGACCGTACTTCGTTCCGCTCCTGCAGCAGGTTCTTGGTCTTACACCTCCTCCTCCTCCCTTAGAGGGTCCGCAGCCTGTCCGGTCACAGCCACAGCTACAGCCTGCCTCCCCTTTGCCTGCTCCTTCTCCCTACGCTGGTCCGACTGGAGGTCTTACTGAGCGTCGTGAGCCTGCGTCTTGTCCTGTGTCGCCTGTTCGTACTGAGCGCGCTAATGGTCGCGGGTCGCGTCAGCGTCCTCCTCCTGTCCCTGGCACGCACCGGATGTCTTTGCGTCCGTCCACTGCTCCTCTGCGTGCCCCTTTGCCTTCTCCTCCTACTTCCTCTCTTCCTGCTCTTGCCGACCCGGAGTCGGACGCTCTTCGTGCTGCCAGTCCTACTGTCACGCGTCTCCTGGCTACTGCTGTCACTGACCCCTCCTTCGAGTCGTCTGCTGCGTCTGCCCTTGTCACTGAGCTTGTCGACTTTGCTGCGCGCTGTCGTCTAGACTACGCTGCTCGTCTTGTCACTGAGTCTGAGTCCGCCTGTCCTCCGTCCGTCGGGGGTGAGTGTGCCCTTGGCACGGACGTCCTTGAGGACAGGCAGGAGGAGTTCCAGTGTCTGGCCGCCGCTTCACCTCGTCTCGCGTCTGTACTGCTAGCCCCTGAGGGAGACCCGGATGCACCAGACATCCCGACTCCGCGCTCTTACGCGGAGGCGATAGAGGGTCCCTACTCCTCTCAGTGGTAGGCAGCTATGGATGCAGAGATGGCTTCCTGGAAGTCCACAGGCACCTACGTTGACGCTGTTCCCCCTCCTGGGGCGAACATCGTCAGTGGCATGTGGATTTTCAGGGTGAAGCGGCCGCCGGGTTCTCCGCCTGTCTTCAAGGCGCGTTACGTGGCTCGTGGCTTCAGTCAGCGGCAGGGGGTTGACTACTTTCAGACCTTCTCCCCCACCCCGAAGATGACCACTCTTCGGGTTCTGCTACACGTTGCTGCTCACCGTGACTACGAGCTGCACTCTCTCGACTTCAGCACAGCTTTCTTGCAGGGCAGCCTGCACGAGGAGATCTGGCTGCGTCGCCCACCTGGCTTCACTGGGTCTTTCCCTCCTGGTACCCAGTGGAGTCTCCGGCGTCCAGTCTACGGTCTCCGCCAGGCGCCACGTGAGTGGCACGACACACTGAGGACTACGCTCGCGGCACTTGGGTTTGCTCCTTCCACTGCCGACCCGTCGTTGTTTCTGCGCACCGACACCTCTCTGCCGCCGTTCTACATCCTCGTGTACGTCGACGACTTGGTCTTTGCCACAGCTGACACTGCTGGACTCGCCTACGTGAAGTCCGAGCTGCAGAAGAGACACACGTGCACTGACCTGGGTGAACTGCGCAGCTACCTTGGCTTGCAGATCACCCGGGACAGAGCACGCCGCACCATTACCCTGACTCAGTCACACATGGTGCAGCAGGTCCTTCAGCGCTTCGGCTTCACGTACTCCTCGCCTCAGGCCACTCCTCTGCCTACTCGCCACTCGCTCTCAGCTCTGCCTTCGGATGAGTCCGTAGAGTCGAGTGGCCCGTTTGCAGAGCTTGTTGGCTGCCTCATGTACCTGATGACCTGCACACGACCTGACCTCGCATACCCTCTTAGCATTCTCGCACGCTTTGTTGCTCCTGGGAGACACCGACCAGAGCACATGGCTGCAGCGAAGAGGGTGTTGCGCTACTTGTGCAGTACGTCGGGCATGGGGCTAGTGCTTGGAGGGCGCAGTCCAGTGGTCCTCACTGGGCACGCAGACGCTTCTTGGGCTGACGACCAGGCTACGCAGCGGTCGTCACAGGGTTACACCTTCAGCCTTGGTTCCGGCTCTGTCTCGTGGCGGGCTACCCGCTCGTCTTCTGTTCTCGGCTCCAGTTGTGAGGCTGAGATCTACGCTGGGGCTATGGCTGCACAGGAGTTACGCTGGCTCACGTACCTGCTGACCGACCTTGGAGAGCAGCCTCGTTCTCCTCCAGTCCTGTACGTAGACAACAAGGCCATGCTGGCCTTGTGTCAAGAGCAGCGACTGGAGCACAGAACGAAGCACATTGCTCTTCGCTACTTTCTTGCTCGTGAGCTACAGCAGCGTGGACAGCTGCGACTTGCGTACGTGGCCTCTGAGGCCAACACTGCTGATGTCTTCACCAAGGCACTTGCGCCTTGTGATCATCAGCGTTGCTGCACGCAGTTGGGTCTTGTGCCTGTCTTGCCTCACTTGCTCTCCTCTTGACCTTGCTTGTACTTTCGCATATATATACTCTTGCTCTTGTATATCTCTATATATGATCTTGCATGTAAACTGGCCTTGTGGCCTCTGAACTTGTGCTCGGAATGCGTGGTGACTTTGTGATCCACCCTGAGCTTTGCTTTGCTTTGCTTGACTGGTCTTGTGACCCCTTGTTCTCCCCCACTTTGCCTATGGGGGTGTGTCAGAACTTATAGCTTACTTGTTTCTGTAGGCTATAGTGGGGTATCCCATAGGGGGTACAACCCAATTAGGGTTTCCTATTTGTACTCACTTCGTTCATAGTCATTCCATTCTCGTTCTTTGTTTCCACAAGCTTCTCTTATTCCGCTGCGACTACTCCTTCTCTTTCTAGCTACGGCACCACCTTCGCCGAGGCCGACCAGGCCAGCTGCGCCGTGCGCGGCAGTAGCGCCGTAGCCTTGTTTCATGCACCTACCAGCCACTCACGACCCACTCGCGTTACCCAGAGCCATGGCGACGTAGAGACACGCGGAAGCCCCTCACCGGGCCCGTCACCATCACCATCTCCACATCTTTCCTCCCCAAGCAGCCGATCAGCTCTGCCACATGCGCGCAGCACACGGAGTGACGGAAGGCGCTCGGATCATGACTCGAAGCTCATGCATATCCGAGAACCAGTGCGCGTGTCACTCGGCTCTGTTACGTGGCACAAATACTCGACTTGGATGGATTGACGAGCGGAAGCACACGGCGACGTCAATACGAGGAGGGCGAGGTGAACGAAACTGCAACATGAATAAGCGCGGGATATACGCGGAAACAATTCTCGAGTGCTGGTCGTTCCGTTGCAAGCCACGGACCTGTGGGTGTTAGATGGCTCGGACTGTGCGACATGCTAACGAAGCGGTTATCGCAACAGCGACGAAAAACAAACACAAGGAAGACGAAAGCAAGATTCGACGTTTACGTCGGAAGGGTTGCGTAGAGTTGTATCCCTTGTATTAGAAACATTATGATAGAGTACATACTTTGCTTATAGAAGCAATTCATAAGTTCTTCATTTTTCCTCAAAACAGGTCAGGCTGGATAGTTCCCTATTTTGAAGTGAAATGTTCTATAGATGTTTCTTCCCTCAAAGGTGTTAATTAATTGTGGAACAATTTGGACACTTATGCTCTTTTTTGTGTTTTTTTGTAAACATGAATTGTTTTCACCAACTACTCAACTCCATTGTTCTCTCAGGTTATTATAGTGGGTTGGCGCTTGGCATCGCTGAATGCGCTCGTCCTGCGCTGGCATAATTTTTCTCGCTCTGCTGGCAGATTTTTTTTTGTTCTGCGCTGGCAGAAATTTTCTCGTTCTGCGCTGGCATCCGTCTCTTTCACAGCTCGAATTCGGCGCTGTCGTTTCTTGGTTCTTCTTCTTGAAACTTCTCAATAAGAACCTCCTGTGCTCCTACTCCTTTTCCTCCCCTCCCCCCCACCCCTTCTCGCCATTTCTTCTCCCACCCAGCCGTCGCTCTCGCTCCCATTCAGCCGTATCCACTCCCTCACTACCCGTTGACACCTCTCCAACCCACCTCACAATCACTCCGTCCCATCCACCCCGCCATCTCCTCTCCCTTACCTCCCCGCCGTCGCCTCCTCCTCCTCGCCGTCACATCCCTCCTCCCCGCCGTTGCCTCACCTCCTCCCTGCCGTCGCCTCTCCCTCCTCCCCGCCGTCGCCTCTCCCTCCTCCCCGCCGTCGCCTCCCTCCTCCCCGCCGTCGCCTCTCCTCCTCCCCGCCATCGCATCTCCTCCTCCCCGCCGTCGTCTCTCCCTTCCCCGCCGTCGCCTCTCCTCTTCCCCGCCGTCGCCTCTCCCTCCTCCCCGCGGTCGCCTCTCCCTCCTCCCCGCCGTCGCCTCTCGTTCCTCCCCGCGATTGCCTCTCCCCACTCCCTGCAGTCGCCTCTTCCCACTCCCCGCTGTCGCCTCTCCTTCCCTCTCCGCCGTCTCCTCCGGCGACAGGTGCACGAGCGCAAGCGCGGATTGGTGCGCGAGCGCGGGTTGTTTTCTCAGGCACCGTGGTTATCAGGTGCATTCCCGGTCCTTCCGTCCTCCCTCCCCCCTTCTGAAATTTCCGTCCTGTTTTGTTTTGTTTTGTTTTTTTTCCTCTCCAATGTGTCGATTGGTCTCCATTTGTATTGCACTTTCATTTGAAGAAGAAAGAGATGGAGCGCGAAGGAGAGTATGTGCGCATGAGAGAGCGTGTGAGAGAGCGCATGAGGGAGCGCGTGAGAGAGTGCGTAAGGGAGTGCGTGGGAGGGCGCATGAGGGAGCGCGTATGAGTGCGCGTAAGAGCGTGAGAGAGTGAATGCGTGTGATAGTGCGCGAGAGAGCGCGTGAGAGAGAGAACGTGGTGAGAATGCGCGAGAGAGAGCGCGAGAGAGAGTGTGTGAGGGTGTGCCTGAGAGTGCGCGAGAGAGTGCGTGAAAGAGCGTGAGAGGGTGCGTTAGAGCACATGAGAGCGTGTGAGAGAGCGTGTGAGAGAGTGCAAGAGAGCGCGTGAGAGCGCGTGAGGGAGCGCGTGAGAGAGCGCGAGAGAGCGCGTGAGAGCGCGTGAGAGAGCACATGAGAGAGTGCGTGAAAGTGCGCGTGAGAGTGAGCATGAGAGAGCGCGTGAGGGAACGCGTGAGAGAGATCGCATGAGAGAGCGCATGAGAGAGCGCGTGCGAGTGCGCGTGAGAGCGCGAGATAGGAAATGCGTGTGATAGTCCGCGAGAGAGAGAATGTGGTGAGAGTGCGTGAGAGCAAGCGCGAAAGAGAGTGCGTGAGAGTGTGCTTGAGAGTGCGCGAGGGAGCACGTGAGGGAGCGTGAGAGAGCGCGTGAGAGTGCGCATGAGAGAGCGGGTGAGAGAGCGCATGTGAGAGCGCATGAGAGAGCGCGTGAGAGAGCGTGTAAGGGTGCGCGTGAGAGAGCGTTTGAGAGAGAGAATGTGCATGAGAGTGTGCGAGAGAAAGAACGTAAGAGAGAATGCTAGAGAGAGCACCTGAGAGTGCCCCTAAGAGTGCGCCTAGATAGAGCACATGAGAGAGAGCGTGAGAGAGTGCGTGAGAGAGCGCATGAGAGAGTGTGAGAGAGCGAGTGAGGGTGCGCGTGAGAGAGCGCGTAAGAGAGCGCGCGAGAGAGCACGCCAAAGAGCGCGCAAGAGAGCACATGAGAGTGCGAGTGAGAGTGCGAGTGAGAGAGCGCGTAAGGAAGTGCGTGAGAGAGCGTATGAGAGAGCGCGTGAGAGCGCGCTGTCAGAATATATCTTATATATATGTCTGTATAACTGCATGTAGTTCTAGCTGTAGAGTAGTTACCTAGTGTTCTGTGTGGTGGTGCACCACTCCTTGCTGGTTCTCTTCTATTTGTACCTGCTCTTCCATGGTCAAACCATCTCATTCTCTCTTCTTCTTGGCACAACCCTAAAGTTCCTCCTTGGCCTAGGCTAGTAATCCTAGGCCCTAACAAAACCCTAGCCATCACTTCTGCCTACTATTTCAACATGGAATCAGAGCTGTTACGCTCTTGGCCTATGGGCCCACCTAAAGCTTCCGCTGCATTCCTGTCTGTCGCGCGTCCCGTGGCGCGCGACGCCTTTTCTTCCCGCCATGCGCTCCTGGCGCATGGCGGTTTTCTGCCTACCACGCGCTCGGGGCACGTGGCGGTTTCTCGCCTGTCCCCGTCGACCTGCGCACGGCTCCCCGACGCCCTTCGCGGCGGCCCTGTCGACCCGCACGCGGCTCCCCGTCGCCCTTCGTGGCGGCCCCGTCGACCCGCGCGCAGCTCCCCGTCGCCCTTCGCGGCGGCCCCGTCGACCCGCGTACGGCTCCCCGTCGCCCTTCGCAGCGGCCACGTAGACCCGCGCGCCGCCCCCGGGGATCCGTGCGCCCGTCCCAGTCGGCCCGCGCGTCACAGTGCGGCCCCCCTCCCTGCACACCTGTGTTCGCTTTCCACGCACCCGAGTTCGCTTTCCGCGCACCCGAGTTCGCTTCCCGCACACCTGAGTTCGCTTACCGCACACTCAGGGTATGGGGGTGACGGGTATGGGGGTGGCGGATCTGCAGCAGCCGCCCCTGGCGCAGCCGCCCCTGGCCCCTGGAGCAGCTGCCCCTGGCCTCTAGAGCAGCCGCCCCTGTAGCAGCCGCCCCTGGTGCAGCCTCCACTAGACCACGCCCCTGGTGCAGCCGCCCCTGGAGCAGCCGCCCCTGGTGCAGCCGCCCCTGGACCTGAGCAGCCGCCCCCGGTGCAGCCGCCCTTGGACCCCGCGACGCCGCCCCTGCAGCAGCCGCCTCCGTCCTGTCCGCGACTGCCCTCGTGCAGCCGCCCTGTCTCGCCTGCGCCCTCGTGCGCCCTGCTGCTGCGCGCGCCCTCGTGCGCCCTGCTGCTGCCCGCGCCCTCGTGCGCCCTGCTGCTGCCCGCGCCCTCGTGCGCCCTGCTGCTGCCCGCGCCCTCGTGCGCCCTGCTGCTGCCCGCGCCCTCGTGCGCCCTGCTGCTGCCCGCGCCCTCGTGCGCCCTGCTGCTGCCCGCGCCCTCGTGCGCCCTGCTGCTGCCCGCGCCCTCGTGCGCCCTGCTGCTGCCCGCGCCCTCGTGCGCCCTGCTGCTGCCCGCGCCCTCGTGCGCTCTCCCTGCTGCTGCCCGCGCCCTTGTGCGCCCTGCTGCTGCCTGCGCCCTTGTGCGCTCTGCTGCTTCCCGCGCCCTCGTGCGCTCTGCTCTGCCCGCGCCCTCGTGCGCTCTGCTGCTGCTCGTGCTCTCGTGCGCTCTGCTCTGCCAGTCGCCCTTCGCGGCGGACCCGTCGACCCGCGCGTCGCCCTGCGGCCCCCTCCCCGCACACCCGAGTGCGCTTTCCGCACAACCGAGTTCGCTTCCCTCACACTTCTGCTCGCTTTGCGCACACCTGAACTCGCTTCTCGCACACCTGCACTTGCTTACCGCACACCCAGGGTATGGGGGTGGCGGGTATGGGGGTGGCGGGTGTGTGAGCCGTCCCCTGCTCCTCCTCCTCCTCCGTCTCCCATTGCTGCAGCTGCCGCTGAGGGGGGTGGATGTGTGGGAGTCGAGGGGAGTGGCGCTAGGGGGGTGCCGTGGTAGTGGAACTAGGGGTGCAGCAGTGGGTGTGTGAAAGGGGGGTGGGACAGTTGGGGGAGGTTGAGCGGAGGCTGCCGTCCTGTCTCCCGTGTGTCTGCGGCTTCAGCCGTCGCCTCCCATCTCCTCTCCTCTCACAGTTCCTTCCCCTCCTCCTCACTTCGCCTCTACTTTTGCTGCGCCCTACAGGGTGTACCACTTCAGGGGTGTTCTGCTCAATGGCTATTCCTGCATGCACTTAGGGGGTGTGTCAGAATATATCTTATATATATGTCTGTATAAGTGCATGTAGTTCTAGCTGTAGAGTAGTTACCTAGTGTTCTGTGTGGTGGTGCACCACTCCTTGCTGGTTCTCTTCTATTTGTACCTGCTCTTCCATAGTCAGACCATCTCATTCTCTCTTCTTCTTGGCACAACCCTAAAGTTCCTCCTTGGCCTAGGCTACTAAGCCTAGGCCCTAACAAAACCCTAGCCATCACTTCTGCCTACTATTTCAACACGCGCATGAGCACGCTAGGACGTAAGCTCTAGCTCATCGGCGCCTCGCAGTGCACTCGTGCATTGCAGTACACTAGCGCCTTTCTGATATGCGTTGACGCCTTCTGCAATGCATGTGAGGGAGGGTGATTTGTACTTCTTGCTTGGCCACCTGTAAGAGCACGTCTGTTGCGGTATCCTATTTTTGCTTTCTTGTACACAGTGTATGAACATGCACTGATTTTTGTGTAAGGTGTGTTTTGCTTTCTTTGTTCTTGCTTTATTGTGCAGGGCGTGTATGTGTTGACTTCCCTGTTTTAACTTTGTGCACGGCGTGTGTGTGTTGACTTCCCTGTTTTTGCCTGGGCGTGTGTGTGTTGACTTCACTGATTTTGCTTTGTGCAGGGCGCGTGCGTGAGCTGAGAAGGAAGATGAGGGAGTGGGATGGAGATGAGGGAAGGAGGGAGGGAGGGTTGTAGGGAGGGTAAGGTGGGATAGGCTAGCCATTGTTTATTCTGAATTTTATTTATGACGGTTATGTGTTTATTACGGTATCTGTATCTCTCTCTGCTTGTTTGCGTGTTTGTGTGCCTGTCTGTTCGTTGTATTTGTTTCAGTGTGGGGTTGCTCTTCGATCCGTTCACAACCTTTACGTGGTGTTGGACATTTTTAACGTGCGTTTGCATTCGTGTTTGTGGGATGTGTGTTTCAAAGTGTGGTGTTATTGTGTATTATGTATGCAATTAGAGGTTGTTAATCGTCTTTGGGGCAGCGGGTTTCTGTCAGAATGTTATATTTCTCTAGTTTGCAGTGGGGTACTCTTTAGTGAGTACAGCCTTGTTAGGGTTTGCTATATGTATCCCATTGTTTGCTAGTGAAACCCCCTCTTCTGCTGTTAATTCCTGTTCGTTATTCTGACATGCTATCCGAGCGAGATCGCTCCTGGCCTGTGGGCCCACCTGCTTCTGCTGCTGTACTACCAGTCGCGCGCCTCGGGCGTGTGATGTCTTCTGCATGCCGCGCGCCCTGCGCGCGGGGCGTTTTTTTCTTCCCGCTGCACGCTAGGGGCGCGCGGCGGTTTTCTGCCCGCCACTCGCTCGGGGCGTGTGGCGGTTTCCTGCCCGCCGCGCGCCCCGGGCGCGCGCGGCGGTTTCGTCGCCCGACGCGGCGCCCCGGGGGCCCGCGCGCTGTCCCCTCCCGTCGCCCGCCGCGGCGTCCCGGGGGCCCGCGCGCCGCCTCTCCTCCCGTCGCCCGTTGAAGCGCCTCGGGGGCCTGCGCGCCGCTCTGCCCGTCGCCCGCCGCGACGCCCTGGGGGCCCACGCGTTGCCGCCCCCCCTCCCGTCGCCCGTCGAAGCGCCCCGGGGGCCCGCGTGCCGCCCTCCCCGTCGCCTGCCGTGGCGCCCTGGGGGCCCGCGCGTCCCCCCCTCCTCCCGTTGCCCGTCGCCCGTCGCGGCGCCCTGGGGGCATGCGCGCCGCCCTGCCCGTCGCCCGTCGCAGCGCCCCAGGGACCCACGCGCCGCCTGCGTTTGGGGTATGGGGTGGCGGGTATGGGGGTGGCGGGTGTGTGCGCCCTCCCCTGCTCCTCCTCCTCCTCCGTCTCCCACTGCTGCAGCTGCCGCTAAGGGGGGTGGGTGTGTGGGAGCCGAGGGAGTGGCGCTAGGGGGGTGTCGTGAGAGTGGAGCTAGGGGTGCAGCAGGGGGTGTTTAAAAGGGGTCTGCGACAGTAGGGGAGGTTGAGCGGAGGTAGCCTTCGTGTCGCCAGCAGCGCAAGTAGTCCGGAGCTGCCGTGCTCCGGTCGCCCAGCGAGCCTGCTGCGCCAGTTGCCCGTGGGTCCGTTGCTCCTGCCGCTCGTCTTAGCCGCGGAGCCAGTTACTCCTGTAGTCCGGGGCCCTTGCTCTATTAGCCACAGTGTGCACGCTCCTGTTGTCCGTGTGTCTGCGGCTTCACCCATCGCCTCCTATCTCCACTCCTCGCACACTCCCTCCTCCTCCTCACTTGCCCTCTGTGACTGCCTCTAGCTTTGCTTGTGCTTGTGAGCTTGCTCTATGACTGCTTGTTGTGCTGATAATACCCCACTTTGACTATGGGGGTGTGTCAGAATGTTATATTTCTCTAGTCTGCAGTGGGGTACTCTATAGTGAGTACATCCCTGTTAGGGTTTGCTATATGTATCCCATTGTTTACTAGTGAAACCCCCTCTTTTGCTGTTCATTCCTGTTTGTTATTCTGACAGTTTCCGCTGTTTCAACGACCCCATCAACCTCTGTTGCTGCATGATGCATTTTAACATTCATTTTGAAGCATCCATTCCACCTCATACCTTGTTGTTCCTTCGTTCATGTTGATGCCAGAATATTATGCTCGGCCGTACGATCCGCCGTACTTATCGACGAGGTTGGGACGGTCGAGCAAGCTAATGGTTTCAACATGATACGTACGTTCGTTCCGGTATTTGGTTTTACGTATGGGGATCTCATTCAAGGGTGTTTTTATCCATTATTTGAGTCATCCGTTTGAACACAGTTTCAAAACATTCAAACGGGTGCTCCAAAAAGTGCATAAATACACTCTTCAAATGATATCCCCAAAATGTCAAACCAAATATTAAGGGTTGCTACGCAACCCAAAAAAACAAATGCCAGCAATTTCCAAGGCAGAATGGCGGAAACTGCGCCGTCGATAGCGCTATGCAAATCACCCTGTACTAAAAAATGAACTGAACAAAACTGTCATTGAGGGTGCATTCCTACCTTGTGTCTGACATCAGGTCATCCGCCCTTGGAAGCTGGGAAGACCCGAAGTGGCTCGAGATAGGGGCAAATCAACATTGGGAAGAGACAAATCAAAGACTAAGGGCGAATGACCTGATGTCAGACACGAGCTAGGAATGCACCATGTGTCATGATGGTGGGGGTGGAGAAAGGGCGCGATTTGAGTGTGATTTGAGTGAAACCAGGTCAGGATTGATGATCTCAGGAGCTAGACCCGAGAAAAATAATTGTTGAGAGGCAAGAAACTACGACCTTCAACTATTTAGCCGACGTTTACAGGGCACTTTGGAGTTCTTAATTAAACAACTGCACTTACGTATTGTTCAGAGTCGCTTGGAGTCACAGCGGAGGCAGTGGCTGGATGTCATTTGTGATCCACACAACTAGGGCTGTCAGCAAAGTGAATGAAGGGTTCCCGAATGAAACGCAATCATAAACCAACACCCTTATGTAAGCGCAAGGATCAAATGTGGGGAATGGAGGGTTGCTTTGTGATACTTTGCACCACTTCATGAAAACCGTATGTATCTGTCAACATAAAACAAAACTACTCACGAGAACCTCCGTAACGAGTCCAAGTTCGAAATCTTGAACTCTAATCTGGCAATGTCTCTTCGATAATCTCCCATCCGGCAACCATACCCGAATTCATGGAGCATTTGGCTCCTCGTTTGGTTGCTGCCGTACCACGACCCTAGACAACTCCTTGGGCGATGATACGCCGTGTGTTTCGCAGGCTCGGTTGTTTGCCGGGCATTGCCAAACCTGGAATAAGTTTCTGCGCTCGTAGAAAATGAAGCTCTCAAGGTGTGCGCTGCGTTCACCTCGCAACGAGCCGCCGGATCTCTCACAAGGAGGCTCGGTATCCTTCTGAGGCAGAAACTTTGAGCTCAAAGAGGGCAGCGGAACGCAAAAAAAACTCGTCGCTCTTGTCCGACTTCCCCGTGTGAGAGTCGATTAGCCAACCAATTCGTTTCAAAGAATGCCCTAGTTGATATTTTGACCCGCGCAGCATGCCAGCACCGAGCTCAAGAATTCCCGGACCCTGCCGGTTCGGCAGCACTCGTTCCTCCCATTTCGTCCCCCTTGACTGCTCCTCCCCACAACTCGCTCTTCTTTGCCTCTCGCCTCATCTTCGAATTCGCATACCACAACCTAGGCATATTCAGAGCATACTCTTCAGAATTCCAACACCCTTAAGCATACCCTCGTTATTGTTACCAATATTCTCTACCGTTAAGCTCCGCTTTCAAGGCCTGTAGCTTCTCGTTTACCGTTCTGACTTTGAATCAAATATGGCTGATTATATGGCTGGTTATCCTACCTTCTATGAAGCGTTAGCCTGGTTTAGGAGCAGGGAAGCACTCACGCAATCAGTGCTTCAAGTCCCGACCTCCACACCTCTATATCTGGTTGCGGAGGAAGAGGACACGTGGAACGATGCCGCGTGGGACTCCTCTTCTGCTCCAGAGGAGTCTTCCGAGTCTCCAGAAGGCTCCTCTGTGAAGGCAGCGACGTCTTATGAGGCTGCAGTTTACTACTCTAAAGCCTCACAAGATCATTCCGCTGGTGCTGAGGGCAGTTCAGAAGAGACGACTTGTGAAGCTGTAACGTACGCTCTTGAAGCCCCACAAGATGTTTCTGGTGCTGCTGAGGGCCTGACGGAGACTACAGAGGCTCCTCTTGAGGCTGCAGAGGAGTGTCAGAATGTTATAATTGTCTAGCGTGCAGTGCGGTACTCTATAGCGAGTACAACCCAATTAGGGTTTCCTATATGTATCTCAACTGCTGCTAGTGCAATCCATCCTTATCTCATTTCTGTTCCTGCGTGCTAATTCTAACATGCTATCAGAGCAGGTCGACCCTCCTGGGTCGATCCTGTGGGTGGGTCCCACCCGATGCTTCCGCTGCTCTACTGCTGTCGCGCGCCCCGGGTGCGCGACCCTTTCTTCCTGCCGCGCACTCGGAGCGCGCGGGCGTTTTTTATCCTGCCGTGCGCTCGGGGCGTGCGGCGGTTTTCTGCATGCTGTGCGCCCCGAGGCGCGCGGCGGTTTCCTGCTTCGCGCGGCAGTTTTCTGCCCGTCGTGGCGCCCCCGTGGACCTGCGCGTTGCCCCCTGTCGCCCGTCGCGGCGCCCTGGGAGCCCGCGCGTCGCCCTCCTCCGTCGCCTCATCGCGGCGCCCTTGGGGCCCGCGCGCCGGCCCCTCCCATCGCCTCGTCGCGGCGCCTTGGGGGCCCACGCGTCCCCCCGTCCCGTCGCCTTGTCGCGGCACCTTGGGGGCCCGCGCGTCGTCCCCTCCCGTTGCCTCGTCGCGGCGCCTTGGGGGCCCACGCGCCGCCCCCTCCCATCGCCTCGTCGCGGCGCCTTGGGGGCCCGCACGCGGCCCCTCCCGTTGCCCGTCGAGCCGCCCTCGGGGGCCCGTGCGTGGCCCCCCCTCCCGTCACCCGCCGTGGCGCCCTCGGGGGGCCCGCGCCCTGCTCCTTCGTGACGCCCTGGAGACCTCCCCGCAGCCTCCCTTTCCCTCCGTGAACCGCCCCTGCTGCTTCCCGCGCCCCTGCCTTCGTTAGGGTTTGGGGGTGGCGGGCATGGGGGTGACCGGTGTAGGTAACCTGCATCTCCTCCTCCTCCTCCTCTGTCTCCCACTACTGCAGCTGCCGCTGAGGGGGGTGGGTGTGTGGGAGCCGAGGGTTTAGGGTTTAAGGAGGGAGTGGAGCCAGGGTTTCAGCAGGGGGTGTGTGAGAGGGGTGTGGGACGGTCGGGGGAGGTTGCGTGGAGGCTGCCGTCGTGTCGCCTGCAGCGCCAGTAGTCCGGAGCCGTCGTGCTCTCGGTAGCGCAGAGAGCCTGCTGTGCCTGTCGCTCGTGGGTCCGTTGCTCTTGCCGCTCCTCATAGCCGCCGAGCCAGTTACTCTTGTAGTCCGGGGCGCTGTCCCGGTAGCCACTGTGTGCGCGCTCCTGTTGCCCGTGTGTCTGCAGCTTCAGCCCTCGTCTCCAATCTTCTCACCCCTCACAGTCCCTCCTCCTCACTTGCCCTCTGTGATTACCTCTAGCTTTGCTTGTAATTGGTGAACTTACTTTATGCCTGCTTGTTGTGCCGATCATACCCCACTTTGACTATGGGGGTGTGTCAGAATGTTATAATTGTCTAGCCTGCAGTGGGGTACTCTATAGCGAGTACAACCCAATTAGGGTTTCCTATATGTATCTCAACTGCTGCTAGTGCAATCCATCCTTATCTCATTTCTGTTCCTGCCTGCTAATTCTAACAAGGAGTCCAGCAGCAGGTGCAGCGACAGTGGCGTGTCCAAGAAAGAGAGCATCTCCAAAATCGGAATTTGGAGTGGTGACCATCACAACAGCAGTTTCGGTTTTATCATGGCGTGGGCTCAAGTCACCAAAGAAGTGATGAACGGTGTTTTCAACACCTTAAAAATCGGCAGAAAATGTGGGACCAAGAAATCGGGTGAAACTGCAGCAGTGGTGTGTTGAGCGGAGACTGTAGTGGTGGGTGGTGCAGTGGGTTCCACTGCAAGCTCAGCCCGGTCCGTTGCAGGCAAGGGCTTAGTTTCGAGAATGGCAGCAGACAGGCTGAGGGAGCTGCCTTCCCGCATCCCCAAGCCAAGCAAGGGCAGTGCAAGAGGTGCTGTGAAGCGTGGGATGAGGTCGGCAGCAGCAAGTGCATGCCTGCCGCCGTCCCTCATTCCCAAGCCACGGTCAGCCAAGACTGCACCTGCTGCACTGGCGACCTTAGGGACGGCACATGCGACTGTGGTAACCCGTCCTCTAGTCGTAGCAAGAAGCAGCACACAGCAGCAGCAGGAGAGGAGGAATGGCAGTGCAGAATGCAGTGGAAGGCGGCCTATCAAGGCAAATACAGCAACAGCAGCAGCAAGGCCTCCTTGGAGGCCGTGAGGGATGGAGTGTGTGGTGGAGAGTGGGAGGGTGGTGCTGATTGGAGTGAGTAGAGAGCAGCCAAGGTACGGCTAGTACGGAGTGGTGGACAGTGGGGAGGAAGGCGGAAACACTTTTTGCACCCTGCTGGTCAGGGTGTTGCAGCAACTGGATGGGGGACTGGAGCATGGAGGCTGGATTGTGGGAGGCACTTAGACGACTAAAGTTGCTCACGTGCTCTCCAATGGGTCAGAGGCTGGGCCATGTGATGACCGAGGCTTGACATCATGGGATGGGATGTTGCTGCTGCTGGTAGTGTGCTGTTTAGTTGTCGGGCTTCTTAGAATGTAGTTATCAATGTACATGCATGTTATTTATATCTATTGTTTAGCTGTACACCTTGTTTGCCTGAACGGAGACATGGTACAAGCCAAAAAATCAAAAGCAGCACCAATGAATGCCTGCCTGCCAGCATGGTATACTGGAACAACCACTTCCAGCCAAACCAAACTTCCGAATACTATCCAAGAAACGTCAGGATACGCAAGGAAATTCAACAATCTTTTAGAAAGTTTCATTCAGCATGCAGTGAGGTGCACCAGCACGGAGGTCCGTGCATGCAATACTATCACATGTGTAGAGCCACACAAGAATGTCAGAGCAAGCGGGATACACCAACTTTCCTTGTTTGCAGCACTCCAACTTCAGATCAGAGCAAGCAGCCGGATTTCTCCTCATCATGGCGCCTCATTTGTTGCCTGAAGCGCCCCCACCCCTCCTCTCCTCTTTCCTCCCCCCCATGGAGGTGGTTGCACGGCCGCCATGCTGTTGCTGTCTCCCCCTGTGCTCCGCGCCACCTGCAGTTTCGCCGCCCGCATGGCCGCCACCGTGATTGGCCGCAGCCGTAACACGCGGTTACCACCGCCACCACCACCACCTCCACCACCGTCGCCGTTGCCGCTGCCACCATAATCGCCGGCTACTCCTGACAGGCCTACACCAGCTGTCTTTGGCTAATTGGAGGGAGACGCTGTGAGGGCGAGGGAGAGGATTTGCAGAATCCGGTGCAGATCTATCATCCCCTACAGCTTCTCACTCCCTCTGTTCCACCCCTTCCGGTATTCAGTACAGTGCCGTTCATTACAGTCACCGCCAATGCAGGGCCCACCTTCCCCCTCAGTCAGAATTTCAACTTCGCCCCCACCTACTACGTTTTCCAGCCCAGATGCCAAGGGCTTAAAGGCTTCAAGACTGTAGCAATCCGCTCACCCTCTTCCCTTCACCCTCCTGCTCCTCACCTTTTCTGCTTCCAACCAACCTTCCCTGTTTCTTACTTCAACGTCTTCCTTCCGTGCACCAATCTCCTCACCTCCTTTGCTCATCTCCATTTTCTCTACTCACCATTTTCTCTCCTCACCTTCTCCTGCTCACATGCAGCATCCCTTGGAGCCACCAGGACATGTCAGCCCAATCATGCCAATACAGCTTTCCCATTTTACAGCGCTTCACCATCAGATCACAGCAAGTAAAAAAGCACTTTTTTTAATGCAGCGCCCCAACACAGCATACCACTCTACACTAGAACACACATGACTCATAATATCCCCCTGTATAGTCACACCTTAGAGTATCCCTCCCTCAGTCATGCTAGCATTGGCACTAACAGCACCTCTCCTGTGCCTGCCTCACACTGACTGACACCAACCCCCCTTATAGTCACACCCATCCTGAGGTCTCACCCATCCCCCCTACTGCCTCACACTGTCCCTACTTGCTTAACCCAACACCCCAGTACCGCACCACACCGTGCTATGTCCCTCCATGGCTCGGGGTGAAGGCACCGCCCTCGTCCAGCCCCTCGCCCCTCGCCCTCCTCCCCCCTCCTCCCGCCGGATCCCCCAGCAAAGCCAGCTGGGGCAGCAGAGCCACCCGAGAAAATTGCGCTGCCTTTCTCCCTGCTGCCCGCGCCTGGCACGCAAACCATCAGACTGAGTGGGGGAAAGGGGAGACGGGGTAGGAGGGTAAAGTGGGAGGATGGGGAGGGCAGTGCAGTGTAGGGGGTGAGTCCTCTCATGCGCCCTCTCATGCGCCCTCTCATGCACCCTCTCATGCGCCCTCTCATGCACCCTCTGATGCGCCCTCTCATGCGCATCCCATGCCCAGCACAAGGCCTAATGAGATGAGATGGGGGCAAGAAGCTCAGCCCTTGATGGCATGGGAGCGCTCACCTACCCTACCTCCTCCTATGCTGCGCCATGCCATGCTCCATGCATGATGGTGCTGACAAGAGAGGGAAGGAAAAGAAAGAATGATGAAAATGGGATAAGAGAGAGGGGAAACGGATGGGTATGAATTGACTAGAGGGGTTTAACCCTCTTTCACGAATGTCCATACATCCCCCTCCTTGCCCACGACAGCAATCACACATCACATGCCACGTTACGGATCTGAATGGGATGAACATGGGATAAGCATGGGATAAGCATGGGATAAGCATTGGATAAGCATGGGATGAACATGGGATGAGCATGGGATGAGCATGGGATGAGCATGGCATGAGCATGGCATGAGCAAGGGATGAGCAAGGGATGAGCATGTGATGAGCATGGGATGAGCATGGGATAAACATGGGATGAGCATGGGATGAACATGGGATGAGCATGGGATGAACATGGGATGAGCATGGGATGAGCATGGGATGAGCGTGGGATGAGCATGGGATGAGCATAGGATGAGCATGGGATAAGCATGACAGCATGACATCATGCCGGGAAGTTGAGAGAAGTAGGGGGGCTTATGGAACGGGGGTTGTGTGCATGGTGTTGAAAAGTGGGGGAGGTTAGACTAGAGCGCACAGATGTCAACTTCTGGAACGAGGTTCGCACATTAGACTCACCCCTCACTCATGTCGTCCACCCATACGTTGACTCATGCAAGTATGGCAGTTTGAAACTCACTAGTGGCTCACTCCCCGTACCTTGTTCAGCAGATGTTGAGAACCGATTGGCCAATGAGACTCACTACTGGGTCACCACTTCAGCACCACGCTCGCACGTTCGGCCACCAAATGCCTTCATCAGCACAATGCTCGCACGTAGAGTTAATGTCATGAACTCACCTCGCACACTCAGCTCTCCATGCGCGATCGCATATCCAGCACCAGATATTACAATCGTGATCCGATTAAGGAGGCTTTTATTCGCTCATGTCGTCCAGCGCGACGCCACACGAGCTCATGTCGTCCAGTGCGACGCCACACGAGCTCATCCGACACGCTCAACGCGCCACTCAGGTCACACATGGTGTAACGCCCAAGGCATCGACGAATCACATTCATCTCAAAGCTAGTTGCACGCCACTCGCACGGCTTGTGAAAGAGGCATGAGAGGCCGCGGATCCCAGTAGCAGCGGCAGAGGAGTGGCAGAGGCACAGACCCACCAGCGCTTGGATTGGATGTAGGCCGCACTGGGGCAGGACGGAAGGAGGGACAGCAGGAGCGGGGCTGGACAGGGGAAAGCGTTGAGAGGGCGAGGGAGAGTAAGGAAGCCAGCAGCGCTTGAATACTGTGGTTGTGGGGGTCGGTTGATGGGGTGGAGCAGGTGGCGTCGAGCAGCAGGGGGGAAAATGATGTGGGAGGAAGGCATCTTGGTGGATGAAGAGGAGTTTCAGTGGCATACATACAAGCCCCAGGACAGTGGTGTGGGAGGAGGAGGGGGAAAGAGGGAAAGGGGGGAGGTCGGATGAGGGGCATTGGGGAGATGGAAGTGGCATTGTGGGGAGATGGGGAAAATGGCAGAAGTGGGGGCAGGGGAAGTGGGAGATGAGAGGGGAGGAGGGAGTGGGAGAGGCACCGGGCAGGGATATGGCAAGGAGAAGCCAAGTCAGCAGTGGCCTTGGAATGGGGGCCTGGCAGGGCGGCGAGAGATGTGGAAGATGTGAAAGGCGAATTGCTTTTGGCAGACCTGGCTTCAAAACTAAATGAAAATACGTACAAACGAGAGTGCTGGGGTGCTGCTGCTAGATCTCCCAACCGCTAGGGAATACCGGTAGTTGCTTGCACCGCAGCTTTCATAGCCTCATTTCCCTTTTATTCCCAGGTTAATGGAGTAACATTGACTTCACTGGAAGATAACCAGAGGTACCACCATAGCAGCTCTTGAATGATAGAGGAAATACAACACATCAGCATGCTAGCTCACCCCATCTGCGTAACAACTACACCCCATGATACACAAAGAACATCAGCACGACAACTACCAACCATCCATCAACCACCACCATACGCATGACAAAAATCCACCGCCAGCAGCACCATGAATGAAGCCCTTGAAAGCCTCATATTCAGCCAACACCACCCATGAGAAGGGCATGAATCAGGCTGCAGTGTTGTCAACTGTCGGGGCGCCCGATGAATGAACTAGGCTGCAGCGGAGTCGAATAGCTTGGCCACCTCACTCCACATGGCCCAGGGCTTGGCAATCAGATCAACGGTATGTTGATGTGGTGCTAGCTGGGCAGGAACTCAAACTTGCACGGAATCTCCGAATCCACATACGCGTTGGTGAACGCCATTCTAACGCCCCCTTGAACCTTGAGAGGCATTGACCCCTTCTGTGGGTCCGTGACAGCGAGTTACAGGCCTTCAACCATCGCATAAGAGTCAGTCAGGGTGAACCCGAGGCACGAGGAGCTCACGTCAAGGGGCTGGTTGGGCAAACCACCCACGGTTACCATGGGTACTTTGTGGCGTTTCCCCAGGAGGTGCGTGAGGACAGCGCAGGTGGAGAAGCAGTCTCCGTCGGAGAGCACAAGGAAGAGGCGGTCGCCAAACACTGGCTGCTCTTCCTTCACGGGCAGCTGCCCCTTGTGGTCGAACTTGAACGGCGCCGAGTAGGTCCCCGCACGGCCGGCCTGTGTGAAGCGCGGCTGGCGGAAAGGCGCGTAGTTGAAGGCGCTTGCGATGTGGGTGCCGTTGAGGTCCGTGTAGAGGCCGAGGTAGTAGTGCGGCGCCGTGGTGTTGTCCACTGCCAGCACGCCCATGGCATTCTCCGTGTACGTCGTGCCGATGACACAGTCCATGGGCGGCATGAGCTGCGTGTCTGGCACCTTGGCTGCCCCCATGAGTAGGCGCACGACTCTGTACGTCGCTTGTACGGAGCCGCCCCCGTTGATGCGCACGTCTATGATGTTCTGCGAGGCGTTGGACCTGGAAGGGGGCACAGGGAAGGGAGGTATGGGGGGGGCGTGTGGGGGGAGGCATGGGGGGGAGTGCAAGAGAGAACAAGGTGGCGCGAAATTGATGTTTGAGATGAATGGCGTGAGGCAGGCGATGACTGAAGAGGCTTAAGAAGAGAGCACTGCGGTGCGACTAGGAGTGGAGAACGGAGAAAGGCGGGAGGAGGGGGAAGTCAAGTAGAAGGAAAGGCGGAGATGCAGAGGAGGAGGTGTACTGACGTTGCAGCGGTGTGAAGAGCCTTGGATATCTCCTCCATGAACGTCCCCATAGCTAACTTCTCCGCGAACGACCTTGTTGCAATGGGCGGGTAAAACGCGTGAATCCAGATCACTGCCGTGCTGCCCCCCACAAGGTATACCTGCTCGCATGCACGAAAGCACGTGCACACACACACACACATACACACACACACGCACGCATATACACACACATACATACACGCACACACACATACACACACATACACACACACATACACACACACACCTACACGCCCACACCCACGCACGCACGCACGCACGCACGCACACACACAAACTGGATGCTCGTTACAGGTTAGCATGTAAGTGCGGCGAGCGCCTCGAATCTTATCAGATCCGATCTGATCAGATCAAATTCGATCAGATGAAAAACGGTTAGATCAGAATACATCACATGGCAGTCAGTCGCTGCTACACATAAGCCCCTTGCAGGCACACACCAACCGGCACAAGCGGGCAAGCGCCATTCATGACTAGACAGTAACCAAGCGGCCATGAGGCAGGAATCCATACAAAAATACGCATCATTCACCACAAGCCATCCCGCTCACCTCACCACAAGCTATCCCGCTCACCTCACCACAAGCCATCCCGCTCACCACAAGCCATCCCGCTCACCTCACAACAAGCCATCGCGCTCACCACAAGCCATCGCGCTCACCACAAGCCATCCCGCTCACCAGGAAGAAATCCTTCTTTGGAGAGATCCTCTTTACAGTCGGCCTCGCTACAGCACCAGAAGAGCCGTCTGCTGCAGTAGAAAGGGACGCGATGTCAACATTGAGGTCGTCCGGTGTGTGGCTCCCATTGCTGGTATCATCATTGTAGACTGGAGCGGAATGGCCTTCGAGAAAATCGTTTATCATGGTATCTGCATGCCCGAGCATGCTTGCCTGCGCGCCGGTGCTGGCAGTAGCAGCAGCTGACAGATTCGGTACGGCACATTGGCTCGCCCAATACCCGGTGGCATTCGCAAAGTCAGCAAGCTTAGCCATCCCAATCCATGGCACCTCTACGTCCTCCGTTGACGCTCCATCCCTGAGAATCGCAGGGAGTGCGGCACATAAAGGGTGGGTGTGGGGGGCGGACGGGACATATGAAGCGTGAACGAGGACGAGTGGGATGAAACGCAGCAAGCAAACGACAGGGAAGAAGCAAGGAAGAAGCAGGGAAGAAGCAGGGAAGAAGCAGGGAAGAAGTAGGGAAGAAGCAGGGAAGAAGCAGGGTAGAAGCAAGGAAGTAGGGAAGAAGTAGGGAAGAAGCAGGGAAGAAGCAAGGAAGAAGCAGGGAAGAAGCAGGGAAGAAGCATGGAAGAAGCATAGAAGAACCAGGGAAGAAGCAGGGAAGAAGCAGGAAAGAAGCAGGGAAGAAGAAGGGAAGAAGCAGGGAAGAAGCAGGGAAGAAGGGAAGAAGCAGGGAAGAAGCAAGGAGGAAGCATGGAAGAAGTAGGGAAGAAGCAGGGAAGAAGCAGGGAAGAAGCAGGAAAGAAGTAGGGAAGAAGCAAGGAAGAAGCAAGGAAGAAGCAGGGAAGAAGCAGGGAAGAAGTAGGGAAGAAGCAGGGAAGAAGCATGGAAGAGTGGTAAGGAGAGGTGAGTGAGCATCTGGTACTGTGACAGGAAGGACACTAATAAGGTGTCATTTTCGGGTGCAACACTTCGCTTGGCGAAGTCGCCTGGCATCTGGACGATCATCGTGCCGTTGGGCGTTGTTGCGGCTACATTCCTAAAAAAAGACCTCGTGAATCGCGCTGCGAGGTTGCGAGAGAAGCCCACTTCCTTGTCCGGCCAATTGCGGATGAAATCTTCCGCTTTGTCCCCGTTAATAGCCACCACCTGGGACGTCGCATTGAAGCATGGAGTTAGAGTTGTTGGATAGGTGTGCCCAGCATGCAAGCAGGACGCAGTTGAACGAACCAAGTGCGCGAATGCCCATTGGCAAAACAAGCGACTCAATCGATTCATTGCATGCATTGCATACCTGTCGGCCCTCATAAAGGGCGAAGTCAAAACCGTGCAGACCCTTGTCAGAACTATACTGTAGGTTGTAGTGGGGCACTCCTTATGGGGTACAGTACTGTTAGGTTTTGCCCATACAACCTTGTACTGTATTGTTTCTACTCATTCTTGTTTCCTACCTTGTGACATAGTATCAGAGCAGAATCGTTCCTAGGGCCCACCGAACGTTCCGCCCTGCCCTAACTGATTTTTTTTTTTTTTTTTTAACGTCACCCCGGCAGCCCGTGGGCGCTGCCCATGCGACCCACGCGCCGCCTTGCCACGCCGCGCATTGCGACGCCCCTGCGGGACCCACGCGGCGTCGTTTCTGTTCGTCACGGCGCCCCCTGGACGCCACCCCTATTCGTTGCGGCACCCCAGGGGCGTCGACCTTGCTCGTCGCGGCGCCCCCTGGGCGCCGTCCCTGCTCGTCGCCGCGCCCCCTGGACGCCGCCCCTACTCGTCGCGTCGCCCCCGGGGCGTCGCCCCTGCTCGTCGCAGCGCCCCCTGGGCGCCGTCCCTACTCGTCGCCGCGCCCCCCCCCCCCCCCCCCTGGCACCGCCCTGCAACAGCTGCCGCAGAACCCCCCCTGGCGCCGTCGCGGCCCCGCCCTGCAGCAGCTACCGCGGAGCCCCCTGCCGCCGTCGCGGCCCCACCCTGCCGCTATCGCAGCCTCGCCCTGGAGTTGTCGCGGCCCCACCAGGCCGCTGTCGCGGCCTTGACCTGCCGCCAACGCGGCCCAGCCCTACCACTGTTGCGGCCCCGCCCTGCAGCAGATGTACTGGCCCTGTCCAGCCGCGGTCGCGGCCCCACCCTGCCAATGACGCGGCCCTGCCCTGAAGCTGCTGTCGCGGCCCCGCCGTCGCCGCCGAGCGCCGGCCCTACTCGCCCGGTGAGCGCCTGCCCTTCCTGCCCCTATTAAGCACCTACCCTACCCATGCTTCCTGCACGTCTGCCTTACTAGCGCACTGCCGTGCCAGCCTGCCTGCCTGCCTGCTGCGCCTACCTGCCAGCCGAGCTGCGCCGCCCAGCTGAGCTGCGCCGCTCAGCCACGCCGAGCCGCCCAGCCCAGCCGCGTCGTGCTGTCGGGCTGTGCAGCACTGCTTTCCTGAGCCGCACTGCCCTGCCCGTGCTGCTACCACTGCTACTACTGCTACTGCTGTTACTGCTGCTTCTGCTGCTACAACTGCTACTGCTGCTACTGGCAGTGGCCAGATGCAGCTTCAGCGACGTCCGCGCGAGTCTCTCACGCCCCAGCAGCTTCGTGAGTGGTACGCTAGTTGGGGTTGTGGCGGTGGTCGTCGTCGCTGTCGCCCTGGAGCTGGTCAGTCGGGAGCGTCTGGCGGTGGCCAGATGCAGCTGCAGCGGCGTCCGCGCAAGACTCTTACGCCCCAGGAGCTTCGTGAGTGGTACGCTCAGAGTAGAGGGTCACGGAGTACTGCTCGCTGCCCGTACATGATTCGCACAGGTGATCGGGCTGGTCAGACTTGTGGGACGGTTGGTCACGCACAGTCCCGCTGCTTTGCCTGTCTAAGCGACGCCTGACACACCGAGTTTGGTGACAAGGCTGAGCTCCCCGACTGGCTGGAGTTGCTTAGGCACAGGGTAGATATCTTTGCTCTTGACTATGATGCTATCCTCACTAACATGTATGCATTGCCTACTAGTGCTGAGGGTGCCTGTTACCTGTGTGTGCCGCCTGACCCAGGTATAGAGTCTACTGCTCTAGGTGCTGGTGAGGCTCCTGCTCTAGGTGCTGGTGAGGCTGCTGCTCTAGGCGCTAGTGAGTCCACTGCTCCAGGTGCTGGTGAGTCTGCTCTCTCTGGTACTGTGCCTACTGCGGCCTTGCACACCTTCACGCTTGACTCAGGAGCTTCCCGCTCCTTCTTCCGCGACTGCACCACACTCACGCCGCTCAGTCGGCCAATGGCAGTCTCTCTGGATGATCCCTCTGGGGGTCTGATCCTTGCACACTCCTTCACGGTTCTGCCGTGTCCAGCGGTCCCGTCTGGCTCTTTGTCTGGCCTCCACCTCCCCTCGTTCTCCATGAACTTGGTGAGTGGAGCTGACCTTCAAGACGTGTGGGTTGACTAGTTCACTCCTAGAAGTCTGCGGGTGACCCACTATTCGTGTACTCGGATGGGCCGCCACCTGGCCACGTTCACCCGTCAGCCTAGGTCGAGCCTGTACACCCCAACTACCATGTCTCCTCCGGTCACTAAGTCTCATGAGGTAGCCGTGTCGGGTCAGGTGTTTGCTGTAGCGTCTCGGTCTGTACCTGAGTCTGCCCCCTGCTCGTGTCGCCTCCTGTCTCACCAGACTCGTCTGGCACCACCGCCTTGGTCACCCCTCCCTGCCTCGTCTCCGAGGCATGGCCTCTCGTGTCCTTGTCACTCGTCTTCCCCGGTCTCTCCCTCCCATTCCCTCGGGGCCTGCCCCTACCTGCGTTCCTTGCGTCGAGGGGCGGTAGCGCGCCGCTCCTCACTCCTCTGAGTTCCCTCCGACGAAGGCTCCCCTGCAGACTCTTCACATGGACGTGTGGGGCCCCGCCCGCGTCCGTGGACAGGGTCACGAGCGCTACTTTCTGCTGGTCGTTGACGACTACTCGCATTACACCACAGTCTTCCCCTTGCGCCGCAAGGGTGAGGTCACTGAGGTGCTGATCGACTGGATCCGCACTGCCCGTTGTCAGCTCAGCGAGAGTTTCGGCTCGGACCTTCCTGTTTTGCGTCTGCACTCCGATAGAGGTGGAAAGTTTTCCTCCGACCTTCTGCGAGCCTTCTGTCGTGCGGAGGGCATCCTCCAGACGTTCACGCTTCCAGCCTCTCCGCAGCAAAATGGGATTGCTGAGCGCCGCATTGGCATGGTCAGGAACGTCGCTCGTACGTCCATGATCCATGCGGTTGCTCCCCATTTTCTGTTGTCGTTCGCGGTTCATTACGCTGTGCATCAGCTCAACCTCCAGCCCCGGGTTTCCATGCCGGAGACCACACCTACTCTGCGGTGGACGGGGAAGGTTGGCGATGCCTCTGCGTTCCGTGTCTGGGAATATTGAGCTTTCGTCCGCGACTTGTCTGCAGACAAGCAGTCCTCCCATGCTGTTCCCTGCCTCTTCCTTGGCTTCCCCCCTGACGCGCCTGGTTGGCAGTTTTACCACCCCACCTCGCGCCGTGTTCTGTCCTCTTAGGACGTCACGTTTGACAAGTCGGTTCCTTACTACCGTCTCTTCCCCTACCGCACTGCCCCCCTCCCCCCACCCCGCTGCTCTTCCTCGCGCCAAGTCCCCCCCCAGTAGACCCCCCCCCCCCTCAGGGTCCTGCCCCCTCAGGTGTGTCCCAGGTAGACGCAATCAAGCTAGTCAAGGTAGCTGTTGACTCTGGCGCTGCTAGGGGTGCTGAGCCAGCGGGTGCCGGGTCTGGGGGTGCTGAACCTGAGCGTGCGGAGCCCGGGGGTGCTGGGTCTGGGGGTGCTGAGTCTGGGGGTGCTGAGCCTGTGGGTACTGAGCCTAGGGTTGCTGAGTCTGGGGGTGCGGAGCCTGAGGGTGCTGAGCCTGCGCGTGTGGAGTCTGGAGGTGCTTAGCCGGGAGGTCCCTTGGCTGCTTCGTCCCAACGGAAGCCTCTCTCTCCCCAGCAGCTGCGCAAGTGGTTTGTTCGGCGCTGGAGCCGTGCTGCTGAAGCTATTGGTGCTACGGACGCTGGAGGTCCTGCTGCTGCTGGAGCTGCTGGGGGTTCTGGAGCCACTGGTCCCGGGGGTGCTCATACTGGAGGTAATGGAGCTGCTGGGCCTAGTGGAACTGCTGGAGCTGGAGCTGGAGATGCTGGTGCAGGTGCTGCAGGAGGCACTGGAGCTGGCGCTACTAGGGCTGCTGGAGCTTCTGGTTGTCATGCTGGAGCTAGAGCTGCTGAGGGTGCTAGAGCTGGAGGTACTGCTGGAGCCGGTGCTCCTGTAGGTGCTGGAGTTGGCGCTTCTGGTGCTGCTGCAGGTGCGGCTGGAGCTGGTGG